TTGATATATGGCGTTTCTTGGTTTTCTGGGATGTGTATTGTCTATCGTCTATGAAGGGACGATGTTATCCGTCATATTTTGTTTCGCAATGTTGTCACGTTTTAGCATCATGCCGATTTGGTTTAATTTAATGTAGTCATAATCATTTCAAATCCGGTTTATCATCGTAGTCTTCGAAAGTACTAAAACACCCACGTTCTTTGCCCCATGTCTTCTTTCGCTTCTACCTACTGCTGGAATCCGTGTTCGCGAAGGGATCGTCTTCCTCCCTCCTACTGGACCATGAGCTGAAGTATCACCCTGTTGTTTGATAATCTCGAAAAGGGTATCTAGCCTATACTATGATGCTGCTTTCTCTGCCCTTCCTTTTGTCTTGCCATACGCTCCCCCAGCCAACTTCCGCATCTCCAACGCCCTCTTATACGGCGGCGCAGTAGGCGGCTGTACAGGATCCAGACTAACCCTATCCTTTGGCAAATGATACGTCGCATCCGCATCATACGCCGAAAGATCGCCACAAGCCAGAAACGGGGCTATCCACCGCCGACCACCCTCCTCGATATCATCCTCATCGTCCGTCTCATCCCCCAGATCTATCTCAATCGCACCATCCTCCCTAACCCTTGACGTAACCTTCTTTTCCGGTTTCTTCGCATCTGAAGACACCGGCTCCTCCCTCACAGGCTCGGGCAACACCGTCCCCGCCCCCAACGGCCTCTCCAAACTCGGCATAAACCCCTCGGGCGGACAAAACCCCTCACAAACCACAAACGCCTCTATACTACTCGCCCGACTACTCCTCGGCTTCGCCACTCTCACACGCTCAAACACGATTTTCAGCTGCGCAAACAGCAGATCTACGTCTTTGCCTCTGAAGATCTTGGCTACGAACTTGCCGCCGGGTTTGAGAACGCAGAGGGCGAGGTTGAGGGCCGCCCAGAGGAGTTGCGATTGCACGTAGATGTCGAGGTCGTGCAGGCCGGTTACGTCGGGGGCGCCGTCGGAGATTACGAGGTCGACGGGGGAGGAGTTGAGGGGGGAGGAGGGGGAGTAGGTGTCTGGGTCGAGGGCTTTGAGCATGAGGGGGATGGTGGAGGGGTGGGTTATGTCTGCGCGCATGGTTGTTACGCCGTCGAGGGGGGACATGGGTTGCAGGTCGATGGCTACGATGCGGACGCCTTCCCGCGGTGTGAGTTTTGGTGTCTCCTCTGCCTTCTTTTCAACTTCTCCTTCTACACCCCCCTCTTCCTTCCCCTCTTCCTTCACCTCCTCCTTCTCCCCACCACCGCCCAAAACATAATCCCGCATATTCTTCTGCTTATCCTGCCATCCCGCTCTCCCAAACTTCTCCCCCTTTATCAGCACACGCGAGAGAACCTGACTCCAACTTCCTGGTGCGGCGCAGAGGTCTACGACGCGCGTTACGCCTTCGAAGAGGTTGAATTCTTCGTCTAGTTGGAGGAGTTTGTAGGCGGAGCGGGCGCGCCAGCCTTCTTCTTTTGCGAGGCGGTAGTAGGCGTCTCGTTTGTCTTTTGAGGATTTGCCCATCTTTTGGTAGGTCTGTTGACTCCAGTTCCTTTTGGGGATTTAGATAGAGTGTTGGTGGGGCTGGGTTTTATGTCTTTTGAGAGGGCGATGGATTGGTGTGAGGCCTCTGTGAAAAGATCACAACCATGTCAAAAATTGTTTCTTCTCGTCAACGTATCCCTGCTCTCTTTATATCTTATCCATATGTGCGAATAGTCTTGGTTAAAAAAGGTTAATCGACGTGCGAGTCATTGCACGTGAAGTGTGGGAAAGCGCAAGTGGGCTAGAACAAAAGTGGGGCGAGCGGACTCCCGAAGACCGACAAGTTTTCCAAAAAGTTCACGGCGCGCGCATCCAACCCACGACAAACCTCAATCGCACCACAGCCCACCATGAAGCGCCCCAATCCCGCCCCGAAACAAGCGTCGCATAAGGGTCACAAACCCAAACGTCAAAAACTCGACGACTTCCCTAAACCTCTTCCCCCGTCCACGAGACCCAAGCGCCGAGTGCAACTCAACGAGCTGGGATGGAAGACCGTGGAGATGCCTGATCGGTTGGAGGATACAGAGGGTTTCTACGGTCTTGAAGAAATTGAAGATGTTGAGATTGTCAAAGATCCGGTTACGGGCAATCTTACCTTTGAGACTACAAAGACGGAAGATGAGGTGGCACAGGATGTGGAGGAAGCGTGGCAACGGGAGGAGGACGAGCAAAAACGCTTGGAGCAGATTACCTTTGACGAGGAGAAGGTGGTTGGAAAAGACGAGAGCGTAGGAAAGAAACTGCAGGAAGCTGATGAGGAAGTCGCGTGGGAGGGCTTCAGCGATGAGGAAGATGCGCCGGCGGGAATCCTAAAGCAGACAACAGGTGCAGGTGCCAAGGATACAGCTGGCGCGACTGCTACCAACGGCGAGTCGGAGGTGAAGAAATTGACAAAGACTGAGAAGAAGAAAAGGGCGAAGGAAGCAAAGCTCAAGAGGGAGGCAGAGGAAAAGGCCAAGGCAGAGCTGCCGACACCAGATGAGGTTGAAACAGAGGAGGCCGAGGACGATGAGGACGACGAACCCTCCGATATCGAAGATCGCGAAGATGGCGAGACCTTCGGACCTGGCGCTTGGGACATATTGGCGAACCACGCCGATGACGACGATGACGAGACAGATGTGCGCGCATGGGCTAAACTCGACCTCTCCGAAGACATGCTGGGTGCGTTGGCGAAGCTGAAGTTCTCGAAACCTACCAGTATCCAAGCGTCTACTATACCCGAGATCATGTCTGGGCGAGATGTTATCGGCAAGGCTTCGACCGGTTCAGGAAAGACACTCGCTTTCGGCATCCCGATTGTCGAGACATATCTTGCTGCTCGTTCGACGCCCAAAAATCCCGAGGACAAGGCGCCCATCGCGTTGATCATTGCGCCCACACGTGAACTTGCGCATCAGATCAATGATCATTTGATCGCCCTTTGCGCGAAGGGCGATTTCGACTCCCCGTACATTGCATCCATCACAGGTGGACTTTCCGTGCAAAAGCAGCGCAGGCAATTGGAGAAGGCCGACATTGTTGTCGGAACACCAGGACGTCTGTGGGAGGTCATGAGCAGCGGTTCAGGAGTGCTACCCAAGTTCAAGCAAATCAAGTTCCTGGTTGTAGACGAGGCTGATCGTTTGCTGAGCCAAGGACACTTCAAAGAAATGGCAGAGATTCTCAAAGTCCTAGAGCCCGATGATGAGCCTAATGAGAATGTCAATACGGAAGACGCGCCAGAATCTCAACGGCAAACTCTTGTGTTCTCTGCCACTTTCGGAAAGGAGCTGCAGCACAAACTCGCTGGGAAGCAGAAGTATGGTGGTGGGGATCTGATGAACCAACAACAGTCGATGGAGTACCTGCTCAAGAAACTTAAGTTCCGCGAGGAGAAGCCAATGTTCATCGATGCCAATCCGACTTCGCAGATGGCCAGTAGACTGCAGGAAGGTCTCATTGAATGCGCTGGACCCGAGAAGGATCTCTATCTCTACTCGCTACTGATGTTCTACACCAAAAAGCGCGCTTTAGTCTTCACCAACTCAATCTCGGCAGTACGTCGCATAACGCCGTTCCTGACGAATCTGGCGCTCCCAGCTCTACCCCTACACTCCAACATGCCCCAGAAAGCCCGATTACGCTCGATCGAACGTTTCAAAGAACGACCAGGATCAATCCTAGTAGCCACCGACGTCGCCGCCAGAGGCCTCGACATACCCAAGATAGACCTAGTCATCCACTACCATCTCCCCCGCGCGGCAGACACTTACGTCCACCGCTCGGGACGTACCGCCCGAGCCGACGCATCCGGAGCCAGCATCCTCATCTGCGCCCCCGAAGAAGTCGGCGGCGTCCGGCGCCTCGTCGCCAAAGTGCACGCCCGCGCCAGCGACGCCCCCAAATCAAAGAAAACCGCCTTCTTCATCCGCACCCTAGACATCGACCGCCGCATCGTCTCCCGTCTAAAGCCCCGCGCCACTATCTCCAAACGCCTCGCCGACACCGTCATCGCGAAGGAAAAGAAACACAGCGAAGACGACGTGCTGCGTCGAGCAGCTGAGGATCTAGGCGTAGACTACGACAGCGAGGAGTTTGAGAAGGAAGCGCCCGGTAAAAGGGGGAGGGGTAGTGGTCGCAAGAAGAAGGAGAAGGAGGCGAGTGAGATGACGAAGGGGGAGATGCAGGCTCTTAGAGCGGAACTTAAACATTTGCTCAGTCAGAGGATTAATACGGGGGTTAGTGCGAGGTATCTTACTAGTGGCGGGATAGATGTTGATGCGCTTATGGCTGGGGAGGGGAATATGGAGTTTTTGGGTAATTTGGATGGGCTGGGGTTTGATGAGGTTGTTGAATAGTCACGTCGTAGAGGATGATCAATTGTACGCAAGATTTGCTCAACCATTCAAAGTCTACCCGACGTCTTTGCAGCCCTGCATTACTGCCTTAGATTTCGCTGTAAGCTCATGTTTTAATAAAGAGTTATAAGCTGTTACCGTGAAATGTTGATGCAGCGCAGGGCAACAAAACGCGGTCAGGTACTCTACATAGTGATCTCAATGTAGTGTATTTCCCAAACACTTTATATTCGCTGTGATGCAGCAGTAGGAAAGAGCTATGAGCTATCATATACTATACGACTAATTTATTAAGTAAAAAAGGTAGAGTATCTACTACTGCGCTGTAGGATCTGCTCCGACATCGACTCGATTTATCCATCAGGAGTACGCATGTTTTGGCGACCGGTTTCACGAACCTTCTAGGCTTTGTTTGGTTTCCGAATAATAGACTGCGGGATTGCGAAGCGCAAACCGGGGAGCGCTTTGTGCGTTACTTCCGCACAAACACTGCGTTAGTATATTGTCTCCGTCGACCCGCGACTATTCGTAGCTCATCATACAGAACGGTCTAATTTGGTACTCTTCTTGATGTCTTCAACTCCAACTATGGACCCAGATCATCAGACCCAGCCAAACGCTGATGACAGAGCGACAAGAGACGAGTCCTCCGCCACAGAGACCGACGTCCCAACCACCACGGAAGTGCCTCCAAATTCCCAGTCCGTTGGCTACATCACGCTCGAGTACCTCCGAAGCATTTTTGTGCAGTTTACAATCTGGGCACCCACCATCTACGCCTTGCTCCACTTCCGCGCCGGCCTCTTCACCAGCGATGTCCTCATCAAAGCTCTGGGTTTTACATTCCTACTGCCAACTGGGTTCATCACTGTCCTCGCCATCACAGCCGAGTACCTGCGAAGAACCATCGACGCACAGACGAAAACTTTACAAGAAAATGCGGACATAGTAAGAGGGTTACAAGACGAGAAGGAAGCATCATCGGAAGATCTCTGGTCTTGTCTCAAAGCAAGAGAAAAAGAACATAGCAGGCATCGGAAACGAATCATCGAAGCCCGTGTCAGGCACTACACATCCCTTCACAAGCACCAAAGCAGCACGATCAGTTTCCTAGAACATCTGAATAGAGCCCACACCAATATCCCCGATTCTCCCGCACTAAATATCCCGTTCGATAAGCTCTACATGATGCGATCAAGAACACAGACGCGACTGAGCATAGCCCAGAGCATCGAGAATATCCTGTACTCCAAAACAATACGCGCGCTGAGAGACGAGGGAATGGATGGCTCCATCCGCGAGGCAGAAGGCGATCTAGAGAAGGCGGTGGTGATAGATGGGTATTTGATGCATCTGGAAGATCTGGTGAAGAATTCTGCTGCTCCTGCTAGGGTCGATTCTGGGTTGGAAGTGAGGTTGAATAGGCATAGGGAGAGGCTGGAGAGGTATTGTGAGGGGGATTGGAGGGTTAGGAATTGTTTGAGGAAGGTGGATAGGGATGAGGAGGAAGGATAGGTATAGAATGGGGAAAAGGGTAGATGTTGTAAATATGTAGGTAGAGGAGCGACGAGATGTCATATGTGTGAGAGCGGTTTGTGCGCTTTACTCATCATAACAACTGTTTCACATGAAGTCGCGCATTCAGTAGCGGATATTTTCCCACAAGCACTTGACAATTGACACCCAGTCTCAGTTTCCCGAGATACCACGACGTTTTCTTTCTAGCAAGTCCACCTGGGCAAACTACGTGGGGTCATCAACGTGGTTGCCTGATTGATGGGTAGGATGTCACCAACAAATAGCAAATGACGTAGCATAATCCGTCCCACCCCATCGCCTATATGAAGACGTGTTTCATCGTAGCCAGTGACCTTTCGAATCATACTACCACACCACGAGTCATCCCAAGGAAAGATAGCCATGGCAACGAGCGCAGAGTCCACACCTGCCCTATGTTCAACCCGGAAGACGCTTGCCATGGACCCCAACATCAACAAGAACACACTCATCTCGGAAGCGGAAGCTGAAAAGACGCTTCACGAAATCGATAATGCGATGATGGACGAGCTCGACCAGGTCCTGCGCACACTTGCTAACACATCGCCGCGTCGCCGACGCTACTTCTCGCCAGGCGCGTTGTTACTTCTTGTTCTCTACACACTGATCCACGTTGTATTCATCCAGCCCGCATCTTCGCGCCTAGGTCGCCAATTCCTCATTCCCATCATCTTCATGGTGTTCATAGAAGTCACTTCCGAGGCCTATCTGGAACGAATAGTAGGATCGTACGAGAAGATAGTTGACAGGATGAGAGACTTGGCCCGCCTTTCACTCGACATGGCACATACCTGCGACAAAAGGGTGCAAGAGGCTGAGGAAGCGTTTGACCAGACCGCGGCGTACAGGACGACCTATTTCCGCGCCTTCCACCAAAAATTAAATGAAATGCGTCTGGAATACTATCAAGCATACCTGGATCACTACGGAACCCTCATCGGTTACGCCGAACTCATTACCAAGAAGGCGAAGACCATGGCTGCGCCGCCTAAAGTCAAGGGCGCGAAGAGGAACTGCGGCAACCGCATCAAGAACGATAACAACGCTCTTACGGAGTCTCTGGAGAACTTCGCTGTCGCGCTCAAACAGCGGCAGACCACGGCCAGGCTCCAGATTGCAGTAGCGGAGAAGATCAAGGACATACTCGATCGCGAGGGCTTGTTACCGGAAGAGATTGATCGACTAGTGGATGAGGCGGAAGAGGATCTGGAGCGTGCGCAGGACGCGTCGAACGTTCGGACTCTATCACCAGGTTATGGTACCTCAGACTCTATCGCGTCGCCATCGCCAGCCGTGGAGAGCGTTGATAGCAAGTTGGAGAAGAATTACGAGGACTTGGATAGGTGGTTCCAGAGTGTGCGGGATCAGCCTGTTGTCGCAGAGGAGACCTGAAGAGAAGGATGTCACGGGAGGATCGTGGCTGCTACGGCTGCATGGAAAGTGGATGAGGATGATGAAATAGGAGTGCACCGATCCTGAGTGTGTTCCCCAGCGGCTCATCCCAGACGTACTCCTAGTGAGGAAAACGTGGCATGTGTCCCATCTTATCTTTCCCCGTGGCCGTGTGACAGAAATTCGCGATTGATTTTGTGTGATGTATTCGTCACAGGCCGTGTCCCAAAACGACGCGCTGGTAGGTGCATTTAACGTCTTAGTAATCGATGATGTAAGCACAAGGGCGCTCACCTGGGAGCGCGCGCTCAGCTCTCGGAATCAAAGCAATACCATCCTTTTCACCAGATCTCTCCCGGGTACCTAGTCCATCTTCTATAGCGACATGATCGTCTTCGCAGACACAAAAATGCGAGTGGAAGGGAAGTAACAATAACGTCTTCTCGATCTTACGCTGCTGAATTCGCGACTGCGACGCGTCACGGTGAATCATCAGAAGCTGCTGAAAAGCCAACATTCGATCAGGCGATCCAGTTTTGCCTTCTGCATGACAACAATAACATCTGGCGCCATGCCGTAGTGCAGACGATGATCTAGACTGCATCTCGACCGCCACCTTCTCAGCTGCGCTCAGCCTTGCGGGACCAAGCGCCACGAGAAACAACTCACTCGTGCGCACACCTCATACACGAAAAAAACTGAACAGGTCTACAGACTACATTAGGCTAAAAGCTTACAAAGTAGCTAACATAACAGCAACGTAGGCTCTAGGGTGTACAGTTTTTTATCAGGTTGTCGTGCGCAGCCCAATAACTGTCTTGATCTATCTACCCTTCATATTCAGCGAAACTCATGTTCCCAGACTTTTGCAACGCCTGGCGTTGCCGATAGGTGGTATTCAGATGTTATGTCATCGGTGGTATGGGTCGCAAGTCATTGACCCGCCACAGCCTTGTTCAGCCTTGTGTGCTGACTGCACGAAGTCGGGTTATCAGCCCCTGTGATTCGTCGGGATCCTACCTATCAACATGCAACGGCTTATACTTGTATTTATTCATTGTAAGCTAAAGGCTTCCATCTTCAGCCTGATGCACGCTTACCTCGCGTACTTAACACGTTCTTCCCGCGCTTTGATCGACGCTTTCCCCGCTGATATACATTACCGCATCGTCCAGTGATACTGCGATGGCGGCAGTAGATCATCTTCCATGGCGGTATGAGCACTGGAAACGACACCCAGAAAGGTTGGTACCGCAGGACGAATATGTCATCGTCTCGATATGTGAAGCCAGCGTAGGTGTTTATACAGGAGACTTGTGTTCATTGGTCTAAGGCTATACAGGAGGGGATCAAATTCAATCAAAAGTTAGTGAGCGACATGGATATACCAGCGCTGTGCGCGGAAACGGCCAAATCAACCACGGATACAAAGTGGTCTTTTGAACTGTTAGCATGATGAGCCTTATTGTTCTAGAATCTACTAACATACTATAAGCCTTCTAACTGCCTCTCCGGAAAATCAAACTGGACACAGTTTAATTCCATATTCAATTGAAAGTGTTCGGGCTCTGAACTCATGCTGGCATATCCCATACAGCTACATTTCCTCATATCACTTTTACTCCGAGGTATCGATGGCATTCTCCCCTCTACTTCATGACTCCAATTGGAAAGGTAAGTTTGATTTGGACTGCGCGACGCCATCCAACAACATAGGCTGGTACTTACATAATTCCGCAGGGTTTCTCCAAACCTTCGGGGACCATATCACGACTACTTACAATGTCGCGACAAGTCAAACTTTTGCGTTATGTCTCACATCAGACAACAATCCCGACCGCATCGTAACACGTTTACAGCGCGCCCAGAGCTTTGCGTCTAATCCATTCCTGTTGACAGTAGTTTCACTCTCCATGGGTCAACAATACAAAGAACTCAAGGGATTCGAAGCCGATCAGGATTGCAGGTACATGGAGCTAACGATGGGTTACGACTATGGAACCAACTTTATGCACTTGGACCAAATGCGAGACACTTCGCAGACAACCCAGCGTCTGAACAGTCTCCTGACTCGGATTGCCGACATCGAGAGCGAATGCGCCTCACTACTGGTCGCATTGGACCGTTTGGGGAGCCAGCTCGAGGTATTGCCTGATGAATATTGCCCTATGATCTGTACCGAGCTACGAGAGCAGGTAATGTACTATCAAGGAAGTGTAGCGGATATCAGCTTCGCCGCCAGGAGAGGAAAAGACATCGTCCAAGCCATGGTACAGACGGTAGGCGTCCCTTTGAAGGGTTTGAGAAAATTTCCCATACACTGAATCTTACAATCATAGGTATACGCGAACCTCCAGCAGCATGGTATGATAATGAAACGCCCTGCAAGTAAGCCGCATACTGACTTCGTATTTCCACTCTTGCAGACAATCAACTGAACCATCGGTACGGCGCTGACATGCGACTCATCACGGCGATCACCCTCATCTTTCTGCCTGGAACGTTTGTCGCAACCTTCTTCAGTACTACATTCTGGGACTTTTCTCCCGACAATGACGGCGCGAAGGTGACATACTGGGTTTATCTGTACTTTGTGATTACGATAGGTCTGACCCTGCTGGTGCTCATTGTGTGGAGGAGATTCAGTGCGCTTAAGCGAGTGATACTGAAGATGGTACACCTAGGCTACCGGATCCCTTGGTTGGGAGGGCTCATACGAAAGAAGAAGGTGGATGATGAAGAGTCGGGAAAGAAAGGTGACTAAGGTAGACTCTAAGGATTGCGATGTCTCTTATTTAATAAGGAGTACCTTTGCGTATGTAGTAGTTATGTAATTTAGGAATTATAAGTAGCTTATCTTACTCTGCATTATTATAGTACTATAGATAGAATAGAAGAACTAAACTTTAGAATTGTATACACTAAAGTAAGTTAACTATAGAGAAATATAAAATGCGCACTTTAGCGTTTTTGTTACTTATATAACTTACATAACTATATTAGTATTTTAAATCTTTATATACTAAGTTAATACCTAGAGCGCTATAACTAGCTTCTACAGAATATTAGTGCTAACTCTTAATATCTCTACTTTCTCTACTACGCCTAGCACCTTAAAAGGCATTAAGGATTTAAGTTAAATATACGCTAGCTTTAAGAATACTAGTATTCTTAGTTAATATAAGTAGCAGCTCTAAAAGAACCTTATCTACTATAGCTATTTACAAGGTATATAGTAATACTATTTACTATAGATATAGCTAACTATATAGGTAATACCTTCTAAGCTAGAGACTTCCTAAAGAGAGAGAAGAATATAGTAAAAGGTCTTCTTTATTAACTTAAATAGCTTAGCTATGTACTAATAAATCTTAAGAGGTTATACCTTGCAAGTAACGCCTATAGCTACTTGCCCTAGAGGGTTCGCGCTAATAACTACCTTTATAGTTATAGTCTCTAGGTTAACTAAGAGTCTAAGAGATAAGGAGAGATAAACATAGTAGTAGCTATTAAGCAATAGAATCTATGTTTAGGCAAATGTGTGTCTTATGTGTGTCTTATGTAGG